GGTTTTTCCCCCCTTTTTTACCCTTTTTAAAAAACGGTTCATAAAGCGTCAGAAAAACCCAAGATGGTCAGAAAAATATAAATTATTATTTATTCAATTATCAAGTACATTAAATATTTACCCTTGCCAAGTTAATTTCTCCCCCACCGGAGTATATTTTCCCCCCAGGGGTTATTTACCCCCAGGGGTATATTTCCCCCCCAGGGGTATATTACCCCCAGGGGTATATTTACCCCAGGGGTATATTTTCCCCCAGGGTATTTTTAAACCCCAGGAGTATATTACCCCAGGGGTATATTTACCCCCAGGGGTATTTTTCCCCCAGGGGTATATTTACCCCAAGGTATATTTACCCCAGGGATTATTTACCCCAAGGGTTATATTTACCCCAGGGGTTATATTTACCCCCAGAAAAGAATATTTACCCCAGCAGTATATTTACCCCAGGGGTATATTTCCCCCGGGGTTTATTTATCCCAGGGTATATTTCCCCCCAGGGGTATATTTACCTCAGGGGTATTTTACCCCAAGGATATATTTACCCCAGGGGTTATATTTCCCAGGGGTATTTTTAAAACCCTTGAGTATTTTTTACCCCCAGGGGTATATTTACCCCCAGGGGTATATTTACCCCGGGGGTATATTTACCCCAGGGGTATATTTACCCCCTGGGTATATTTACCCCGGGGGTATATTTTCCCCCAGTGGTATATTTGCCCAGGGGTTATTACCCCTGATTGAGAATCACTCAACTACACACTGAATAACTCCCAATGCCATTTATTTACACCCGTGTCGACTTATTAATCCTGATAACATGCCTCACGAAATCGTAAGGGACAAAAATTGCAAACAAACCAGACCACGGCTTTGAGGGGACTTGAGCTAGAGTTCATCAGTGCCATGCTAGCGGAAATTCGTCAGAAAACTTGCATTTGTGGTCATAATGGCGCCTATGCTAACCTTCCTTTATGGTGTATAAAATTATCCTAGTTAGGTGAGAAAATTTTTTGTACCCACCAGGTCCAGTGGCTAAGGCGTCGGTCTGGTGTTTTATGACTCTCTGATCGCGGGTTCTAACCCCACCGTGGTATGGTTTATATCACTAATATACAGTAAGGTATCATTTAGGATAACATTTCCCATAACTATCATAACCTTATATATTTAAAAATAATTTCCTTGTTTAAGATATGTCTAAGTCTCTGTTTCTTCATAACTTTCACAATTATATTTATTTATTTCTAGTTTATTAACACTTAATTTTCTTAAGATTAGAAAATAAATTTCTTTACATCTAAATTTATTTTCATTCAGAATTAATAGTTGTTAATGTCTCCTGTGAAGCGGCTGTTTTTATATTAATAATAATTGATTAACATATGTACTTCGAAATTAACTAATTCACATATATTTATTCTGTTAAATGTGTAGTATAAAGTTTGTTCAGGGAGTTGGACGATAATTCTAAGCTTCGTTTTAACATTAGTTTTAACATATTTATTAATTTGTTATTATTGGCACCAGCGCCAGGTCCACCAGTCATCACGGAGGTCACCTCAGAGTTTGGATCAGCTAATGTCACCTGGACACCTCCTGAAGAAGCAAATGGTGTAATTTCAGAGTATGAGATCAATTTTAAGAACGATAAGAAACCTATAACAGAAGGAGTGGATGGAATGATGACTTCAGTTATGGTTACTGACTTAGAAGAATGTGAGGATTATGTTATTACTGTTAAAGCTAAAACTGAATTAGACTGGGGAGACGAGTCAGACAGCTATTATACTACCATCAATGGTATTGGTAAGTTATGTAATATTATTGTTTGTGAACTAACTCCAGTAATCATAAATATGTATTTATTACAATTAATAATTAACAGAAACATAACATATACTCTTATCTAAGCTAAAATTTGTATTTTTACGTTAGTTGCACCAAGTGAAGTGAATTGTGATCAGAAAGGTTATACAGTCAATGTTTGCTGGACACCTTTCCTGCAAGTTGCTTCCTAAACCACCTACATCATCACCTGGGGGGGGAGACATGAAGTGGACAGACAATAATACACATGGTCAGTATTTATCCAGCTGCCGCAGAATCAGTTGGGACCATCTTTATCTCTCATATATAATATTTAATAATAAACAGTACTGATTTATTTAAATGTAGTTTGTTTATAAGTTCGATGTAAAGCTGAAGAATTTCACTTTCCGAATTAAACAATAAACGCAGCTTTAAACCTCATATTTTGATTTCAGTGGCTGGCAGCTTTTCCATGGAATGGGAGAATAACAATTCGTTATGTCACCTGTTGGACACACTTGTGCCATATACAGAATACATTGTTGATGTCAGTGTGCCCAGGCATCAACCCCAGCACCCAACCAGCGGTGCTCCTCGTCGATACTCGTACCAGACGCTGGTAAGATGAAAATTACTCTGTAACAGAATAATTTAATTCACTGCTGTTTTATTATTGCGACCCTTTTTTAAAAATAAGACGAACTGTAACACCCTTTGATGTGTTCACTAGAACATGTGTCACCTGGACAGCAGAATATTTTATGATAATACAAATCCATGAGAACGGGAACTTTTATATTGGAGCTGGTGGAAGAAGTTCAGAGGTGCAGCAGTTGAAGAGACTGTCACATATGAGTGAGGCCCACATGTACACATAGGTGAAGCCTATAAGGTTGGCCCCAGATACAGAGTTGAAGAAAATTCAGAGAAGTACAGCCCTGGGACCGGAAGTAGATAAGGCCCATAAGGTGGGCCAGAGATTTAGCAAGTTGAAGATATTTTCTGTTTCAGAATTCCATGATGGTTCTTTGGCAGACAAATATTATTAGATTTAAGATATTTTATTGACAAACTGATAAATAAGGCCACATGTGCAACATCTTGGTATCGAGACTTATCACCTGTGCATCAAGCCAACCTTATGTGGTTGGCTTGATGCACAGTTCAGTCAAGTATACATACGTATACTTGACTGACTCCGTTAATTAGTATCGTTTTATCCCCCCAGAGCCTGGCAGCCACGACACAAACCTCTGTCAAAGATTTGAACACTTTCTTCTACAGGGAACACTAAATAAATCAGATATATAGACTACAGTTAGTCACCAGGAGGATGTCCTTGTTGATGCCAGGTTCCAGGTTCATTACCAGACGGAATGGCCAAGCAGACTTGATGCTGGCTTAAACTGAGGCTGACACGAGGGTAAATACACAGCATATCGATATAACACAGTGGGAACTTCAAGTTTAACCACCTCTCCTGCCTTGTTCCAATATAGTACGTATCAATCAGGTCCCTACAGGACTTGCTCAAATTAAATTACAATCTAGTTAATGAACAACGCTAGGAGAAGAGGACTTCATCTGACATCCCAGGTGCAATGGACGCACCTAATGGTTTTGGTGGTTTGGGCTATGTCCTGTTTAATTAATGACAAGTTGTCACTATATGGAAATGCTGTCGATCATTAGAGTCGACACTCACTTAGCACAGGTGCTGACCTTATACTCATCACAGTCTACTCTCAAGAGTGTCCTTTGAATAAATAAATAAGTCCTGGTCCTTAGCTCCTTAACCCAGAGAGACATTTAGCTCACACGAAAGAGGGTGAAGAGTCTTCCCTCAGTGAATACATTCAGGTAGCAGCATGAAGTAATTTGGGCACCCTGATTGAGGAATTACATCTGGCCATATCTGCTCCATTTTGTTCCTTTTAGACAACTGATCTCTGAGGCTTTCAAACACAGCTCGGCTTCTACAAGCTGTTCACCCATCAACATTGCCTACAGCTGCCAGTAATGAGAGCTAATTAGTCACTCCCAATAAATCAGAACATCAGTCACCACGACATTCAATGTTTTGCGATCTTGTAACAGATGAATCTTATTTTTGACATTGTATGGGCAACCTGCTAGTCAAGTGAATTAGCGCAAGGCAACATAGTATCGTGGGAAAGAGCTGTAAACCCCCTATTCTCCCCAACTGACAGAAAGAGAATTAAAATGGTCTCAGTGCTCTTTGGTCATGTAGACCCTGTGGAGGTCACTGTTACGTAGGAATTCAAAATTTTCCGCACTAGGAAGCCAAGTCTTGTATGGAGAATCCAACAACTTTCCGCAAACTTCTGGCCTCACAGTTGCCTGCAAAGTGGACGCAATATTTATGTATAAAAGGGTGTCACTAAGAACTCACAATGCATGTCACTGTTTCGTGAAAGTAGCTTACTTATCATACAAGTAATTATTCAACACGACATATATATATGTATATATATATATTTTATATATTATATATATATTATATATATATATTATATATATATATATATATATATATATTATATATATATATATATACATATATATATATATATATATTATATATATATATTTATATATATATATATATATATATTATATATATATATATATATTTATATATATATATATATAATATATATTGACAAGAATGGTATTTAGATTTCAGGTTTATACTGCCGGATTTATGTATTATATATAATTGTCTATCACTGTGTTTTTCTTTGTTTTTCACAGCTCCTGGACCTCCTGTTTTGAAGGATCTACTAGTTAATCACACATCATTGTTGGTCAGTTGGGATCATCCCAGGATCGAGAATGGCATCATTGGTCACTACCAAGTGTTCTGGGAGGACACAGCAGGACACCCTGACGACTCTCAGCTGGATGGAACAGCAAATTCCTATACAATACTTGGTTTAAGTCGATGTGAGACCTACACTGTCACTGTAAGGGCAGAGACATCTATAGGAAAGTGGGGAAATAAATCTGAAGAAAAACAAGCTTCCATCCCAAATGAACGTAAGTCATTGTTGTCAGGTTAATGGTGCGGATGCCAGGTATATTTTTAAAGGAACTGGAAAATGTTCTCCTGGTGCCATGTGATTTGCTGCATCCACGACATTTTGACTTTCACTTCGTGTTGATAAAATGACATATAATTTCATACTTCAATTAATTTATGATCATTAAATATCCCATTAAATATTACAGATCTTCATCATTCTCAGCTTCCTCTAGAGAATTCTATTCAATATATTAAGTAAAATGACACAAGTACAACTAATGTGACATTTTATTGTGGCAACGTCTCGCTCTCCAGGAACTTTGTCAAGCTACAAGAGCTTCATGAAGCTCCAGGAGCTTCATCAAGCTCCAGGAGCTTCATCAAGCTCCAGGAGTAACAGCTTGACAAAGTTCCTGGAGAGCGAAACGTTGCCACAATAATATGTCACATTAGTTGTACATGTGTGCTTATACCTAACATATTGTCGGTAATTTTACCAATATTTATACATTTCTCTTCAATCTTGAAAATGTCTTCTGGTCAACTTATTGTTTTTTTGACGCTGTGTGCTGTAAATACGAAAAATTTCATGCAAAAAATAACATATGCGGGCGCCTTCTGGTCAATGTTATGTAGGCCTATGCTGGTTCTGGTCAATGTTATGTAGGCCTATGCTGGTTCTGGTCAATGTTATGTAGGCCTATGCTGGTTCTGGTCAATGTTATGTAGGCCTATGCTGGTTCTGGTCAATGTTATGTAGGCCTATGCTGGTTCTGGTAGATGTTATGTAGGCCTATGCTGGTTCTGGTCAATGTTATGTAGGCCTATGCTGCTTCTGGTCAAGTTTTGTAGGCCTATGCTTGGTTTGGTCAATGTTTGTAGGGCTATTGGTTTTTGGTAAATGTTATGTAAGCCTATGCTGGTTTGGTCAATGTTATGTAGGCCTAGCGGGTTCTGGGGAATGTTATGTAAACC